GTCTGCACACACGGAGCTAATCCGGAATAGCGTGAGCGCCTCCCATTCACACCCTACCTTAGTCCAGACTAGGTACCCTGCCACACGCCTTCCATAGGTGCAAGTCGTTTAAAAGCAATTTGGTTCAAACCAGGCACTGTCCTGAGTGGCTACACGGAAATGGGCTTAAATCCATGTTCCGTCAGAGTTCCTGGGTTAAGATAAATGGAGCTGAAAATTGATCTAAGAGAATTTGACTAGGGGGTTGTCTACATGGGGACCCTCAATGTTAATCTGAATGAATTTTTAAAGGGGATCAGTTGAAGTCCATTAAACCCCTTGTGCGACGCTCTCATTCCAAACATAAGTGGGCTTCATTTGGTTTAGTTTAATTCACTTCTAAAATTAATGCACTTTACATGCTTAATTCACTTCCAAAACTAATCCATTTTAAAGGCTTAATTTGCTTCCCAAATTAATGTACTTCAGCTAATCCATTTTACATTCACACCTTTTGTTAATTCAGATTAACTTTCCTGGGTATCCCCATGTAGACAGACCCTAATTTTCTTTGAACCTCCCTAGTTTTGGCTAACCCGGGGCAATCTGTGTGAGGACTAATCCTTGGTATAAATGGAAGTAAGGCTCGTGTCTCTTTCTCTGGCTCGGGTCCTGGCCCTGACCAGACAAAGACTCGACTCGCACGGGACTCACGTTTGTGTGCGTTAAGCTAAGTCAGGCCTTGGCACTTGCAGGGGGTGGGGCCCGAGCCCCTGGTGAGACGGAGGCCCCCCAGGCAGCCCTTAGAACATCGCTGAGGCCAGCGGCGCCTTGGCATTTTTGTCTAAAAACAAGCAGTCAAGGAGGGAGGTTATTTCTCAGGGACCTTTTAAATTGCCATCGATTGCGGAGGGTTGGGTGGGAGGAAGTGCCACATCCCCCGCCCCCCCCCGCCGGGCAGAAAAGCCCCCCGCACCGTGCAGCTACAGGGGGAGAAATGGAGGGGGGGAGGGTGTAACACCCCCCCGCCAACATCCAGGAGGCTGCTCTGGTATAAGACTTTGGTATCTCTTCTTCTGCCCCGATGTGAAAAAGGAAGTCCCACCCTGTAGAGAACAGGAAGTCCAACCCCTCAGAGAACAGCAAGTCCTGCTTGACACAAAGAGGAAGTCCTGCCCTGTGAAGAACAGGAAGTCCTGCCCTGATGCAAAGAAGTGCTACCCTGTATGGAAAAGGAAGTCCTGCCCTGCTGTCAGTATTCTCCGCTACGGTGAATGGGACGTCCTTGCCATTGTGGAACAGGAAGCCCTAGCATGCAAAGAAATCTCAGTTTCTGTGCCAAGGAGGAAGTCCCACCCTGCCACCTCTGCTTTGCTCTTACCCTCTCCCACCTGGTTCTCAATCATGTTGCCCAGAGGCACCTTCGCCCCGCCCCAGGGACTCCTTTCCCCACACACAACAAACGCTGGTGGCTGCCACGCTCACACAAGCCATTTTCTCCAGCACCCCCTTTGGATGCAAGTCCCTCGGACAACCACCTCCACGGTCCAGCCCCACATCCAGGGTGAACCGGAGAGTGCAGGTTTACAACCATGAGAACTAAAGCTAGAACAATCCGCACAGCAGGCTGGGAGTGCTAGGCCAGCCAGGAGAACTCTTTGTTACCTACATCCAGGAGGACCTGGAGCAGCTTGGGAAAACTCTGAGGGCAACCTGGAATGGCAAGTGTCACCTAGAGCCACCCAGCATTTCCTGGAACATTTGATGTGACTCAGGGGTTCTGTTAGTACTTGGAGACTCAAGCGTAACCTAGAATGATGAGTCACCTAGAATGCCCAAACTGAGACACAATACTAAGCTTGACCTGAAGAGCTCAGAACTGCTTAAAGAATAGAGAGTAATCTAGAACACCAAGCATCACCTAGAACATTCAGCACATAGCCAAGAACAGCTCGATATCTTAGAGCGCTACTTAAAGAATCAAGTGTCATCTAGAACACCCCCAATGGTTTTGAACATCTGGAGTAACATATACCTTGCAGTTCTGCTTGGAGAACTCAGGTCCTAGCTGGAATATCAAGTGTCACCTAGAATGCACAACATGACCCAGAACAGCTGGAGTGATCTAGAGTCTCTAATAAAACACAGAAAACTTATGAGTAATTTGGAACACCAAGAGTTACCTAGAACATCCAGTGCATGGCCCAGAACAGCTAGCATGACCTGGAGATTTCAGAGTTGCTTAGAGAATCAAGAATGACCACGAAAATCAAGTGTCACCTAGAACATCCAGCATGTGTGCTAGTTCATGCCAGAAGCCCAGGACATGGCACATCACAGAGCAACCCTCAGTGTAGGCGGCATCTTGGATCAGCAAACACTGAGTGATTCAAAGTCCTTTATGGCTCCATTGACCCAGTTCTAGCATGAGAATTGTACAGCGGCCAAAAATTTTCCCTCCCTTCTTTCCTCCTCACACAGAAACCGCGGGTGAGTTTGAGGGGGAAGAGTTGTATTTCTGGAGGGGGGCTTTGGCACTACGAATGCAGATCCCCTTCCTCCCCCCACACCTGCTGACAGGGTCCCGATCCCCTTTAACTCGTCTTTGGTTGCAAGATTTTTTTTTTAATTAAAAACTTTTTTTTTAAAAATGACGACAGGAAAAACAATCCCCCCCCTCCACAGAACAGAATATAAAAAAGTCACTCAGAATATCTGTTACATTGTTATTATTAATTTTTCAAGTCACTTCTAAGTCCCACAGTTACAAATAAATTAACAAGACAGGATCAGACCCTGGAAGATTAAAACTTAAAACGTTTAAACACTAGGAACTGACTACCTTTGGCAACGTCATCGCGATTTTCCACCCCTCCTGGGTCAGTTACTGTGAGAGGGCGGTGGCGGGGAAGGGTTTGGATGCGGGCACTGCCCTCTCATAGTGTCCGGATTCGGCATCTCCCTGGCTCACAGACCGGTGGCAGATGCTTCTCCCAATCCACATGGGGAGGGGGGTACCGCAAAGCACCGTCATCCTGGGGTGTTACTTGGGATCCCCAACCTGACGTGGCTGAGTCTGGACAGGGGCTGTCTAGGTTGGGGGTTGGACTGGTGGCCTTGGGGGCATCCTCCCTCCCCTGTCAAGATTCCTCCAGCCCTGCGCCCACACCACCCCCCCCAAACAAAAAGGAAAACCCACGAAGGAAAGGAAATGGAGGGTCGCTCCTGGGGGCTCCGCGGGACGATGGGAGAGGTCGCCGCTCCCCTCCCCCGTCCGGCACACACCCTAATAAAGCATTTCTATTTGGTTTATCTTTAAAGTAGATGAGGTATATGGCAGGCTATCTCCAGAGAACCTTGCGGTGGGTTTCACGGCACCGTGGGGAGGAGGGGATCCCCAGCCCAGCCCCTCCCTGCCGCCCCCCCAGTCCTGACTGGGTTGCCAGCACAGAGGTGTCTACGTAAATATTTGGTTTCACAGCTGTAATTTAAAGCTTGTTTGGATACTTATTCTCAACCCCCTCTCTGGGGAGGGGCACTGGGGGGCTGGCTCAGGGGAAGTGGGGGGGCCATGGATGCATTTCATAGGGATTCATGAGCCTCTCATCACAGACACAGACAATCTCTGGCAAGAGGTTCAGTTATGGAACTGATGGGAACCATCATCATCTCGCAGAGAGATAGTGGGAGAGCCAGGGAGAGAACCCAGGAGTCCTGGGTCCCAGCCCCCTGCTCTAACGCACCCCACCCCACTCCACTCCCTTTCCAGAACCGGGGAGAGAATCCAGGAGTCCTGGCTCCCAGCTCCCCTGCTCTAACCCACTAGACCCCCTATGAAATGCAGTCCCAGTGGAGGGGTTACCCCATGGCTCGGGTTAGCCATGGACAGACTCACAGACACCGTAGAAATCCCATGGCCCCCTGCTCCCCCCACGACAGCCAGCCCACTTGCCCTCTTTCACTCCTCTTCCCTGTTAGGTTTTGGGGTCGCCCCCGGCCAATGCCGAGTACCCAACACTCCCTGTTCCGCTCCTGGAGATAGGGTCATTTTTGGTCTAAAATCCTTTTTTTTTAAACAATTTTTGGTTTTTTGGGTTTTTTTTTTTGTCATCTCAAACTTTTTGCGTTTGGGTTTTTTTGTTTTGTTTTTTTTGTTTTTTCATTTTTGTCGTTTTTTATATATACAGTAAGAAGCAATAAAGCAGAACATAGAATTTCTCTCTATAAAAAAAAGGGAAGAGTTCCCTCTCCCTCTCCCCCCCACCCTGAAACCAAAAATATTCCCAAAGGAAAGAAAGAAGAGAGTTCACTAAAACAGTTACATTCCACCTAGAAAACTTGTTCAGGCAGTGCGTCCGGGAGAGACCAGCCACCCCAAACGCTGTTCCTCTCCCATCGAGATGAGAACTGCAACTCCGGGGGCTGGCTCCCTTCCCTCACGCACCTTACAGGGTGAAAAAACAGCGGTTTCAAGTCTGGTTTTTTTGTTTGGTTGTTGTTGGGGTTTTTTGGTATTTTCTGTGTTTAAACCCAGGTGTTTCGGTCAGTTTCTTTGTAAAGCAAAGTTTCACAGTATGTTCATTTTGTGTTGTCTCAAACCCACCTGAACTCTATGAACACAGCTAAAAGCAGGAGCTAAAATGAGGTCAAGATTCTTTTTTTTCCTTTAAAGAAAGGTTTGTTTGTTTTCAATGTTTTTTTTTTAAACTTTTCCATTCTGTTCTTTAGTTGCCGGATGGCGTTTTCTCATGGCTAACTTCCTTCTCTGAAAGGAGCAAGACTTTGGTTCGCAGGCGTTGAAAAAACAAAACAAAACAAAACAATCACGCACGAAAATTAATCCAACTAAAAAAGAAACAACCCAAAGAAAACGTTGTCTTTGAGTTTTAAAAAAATCAAACAATAGATCAGCGTTTCGAGAAGCCGTTTTAAAGCATTTCCGACCGTGGGAAGGGCTCAGAACTCTCCGTTAGCCCCTATCCCATTCTGGCGATTTGGTTTATTTGGAACTGGTTTTTTTGGTCCTTTTGTCACATAAACCAGGGCTTCTCAACGCCATGTCCATGAGGTATTTTTTTCAAGACAGAGAAAGAGCGTTAGGCCATCAGTCTAGTCAGAAAAAGTCGACATGCCCCTTTAGGTCCATTGTTTAAAATCCTTTCTTCTTCAATTCAAGGTTTTATATTTGAGTTTTCTTGGTTCACTTCGTTATGAATTTTTTTGGTTCAAAGTTTTTTCTCGCATCCCGAGTCGTTGCGGTGAGAGCAAAAGTCTTCAGGCCGTTGTTTTGCTGTACATAGATCCAGCGATTTTTTGGTTTCTTTTGGAAAATGTAAAGAAAGCTGAAATTCCCGTTTTTCTTTGTCTATTTTTTTTGTCAGGCACTGGAATATGATTCTTGTTTCAGAACATAGATATAAAAATAAGAATAAACCATTCTATGTCCTTCCCCTGCTTCAGAAAAATAACCCCAGAGATACCCGCGCTGAACTGACAACCCAAAAAACGGAACGGAAAAAGACTGGTAGAAAAAATTAAATTAGCAAATAATAGTTTCATCTGTTAAAAAAAATCTCTGCTTCATTGCTGCCTGCCCTGGGAGGGGTAAAGGCTCAGGTTTATTCTGAGAGACGAGGTCCCAATCCTGCAAAGAGCTGAGCACGTGAGTCGCTTGCGGCACTCTGAGTAGCCCGGTTGACAGCACCGGATCTACGCAAAGTGTGGAAGCGTCCCCACCCGCCAGAGTCTTGGCAAGGTCGGGAGCCGGGGGTTGCATGAAGACCGTGCAGCGGTTTAAGCAGAGGGGTGAGTTTAAAGCGATTTAGCCAGATGGCTGCAAAGCCCCGTCGGCTGCGCCGATTCCAGGCTAAATCAGGCTTATTTGGGTTTCGCTAGATTCAGAGCAGCTTGAAGTGCACCGCGGACACATGGCGGGGTCACGCTAGGGTTCCTGCTAAGCTACGCAGGGTCGTTGAGTCCCTCAGCTCCAACAGCTGCCCGACTGGAGGTTGGTTACAGATCTCTCGGAAAGGCACGCAGGCTGGATCCACCATGGCGTAGCCCCCGCCACCCAGGGCTGTGCGCCCCGATGGTTAGTCCCTCGCACTGCTAATCATTGGGCCTTACTGGAATTTGTCCGGCTTTAATTTGGTTCTTGCTCTGCCTTTCTCCGCTAGGTTAAAGATTTTCTCCCCATGAAAGTACTTAGATGCTGTGATCACGTCACCTCCCCAGCTCCTTTCTGAGAAGCTGCTGAAGTCTCTCACTACCAGGCGTTTTCACCAGCCTGCAGCTCCCTGTCTGACTCGGAAAAGCAGAACCCCGCGGGTCGGTCATGCAGACCGGGGCGGGTCGGTTAAACTGAAGCACAGCGTCCCCATGCAGACCCGGCAGATCCGAAAACCCCTTCGGAAACCTCCTCCCGAGCGCTACGGAAAAGCCACCCTCCCGCCCGGTTAGTTCTTTACAAAAATAAAAGCAAATTGAAAAAATAGAGATTTATCAAATCGAAAGCAAAAGCGAGTTTGTTAAGAGCGTGACTCTGACGTGAAAAGAGTCTCCCACCCGTCCCCCACTAGGCCCCTTCCCAGATGGCAAATAAAAATCAATTAATAATAAATAAAAGGTTTCAAAAGACATTCGACCGGACACAGAGGTTAGAAAAGTTTGTAAAAAGCCTTTGGGTGAAGCTAGGACTGGTCATGGGTTGGGGTTTTTTGGTGTGAGATTTTTTTTTTTCATATTATTTCCCCTATTTCTTCTTCCTGTGCAATCAAAAAAACCCACCTATTTTTTCTTATGTTTCCCCCCAAAAAATGTCCAAGAAACACTCAGAGAAAAATCAAATAAAAGGAATTCCAAAAACCAACTCCGCTGGCCGAAGAGTGACTTGAGTCACCCGTCTGGCCAGCCCCCAGCTTTCAACAAACGGTAAATAAAAGGCGAGATTGCCATTGAAAAAACGAGATCTCAAATGAAACAAAACAAAACAAAACACCGCAATCCAATCTGGGTTCTTTGCCTTCTGCTTTCGGCGCCTTCGGCGTCATGAGCCGCAAGATTTTCTCCAGGCCCATCAGAGCTGGAGATCTGATTTTTTCCCCTCGCTTCCTCGAGGAAAGTTCCAATTCTGCTCCAGCGTCGTGACCCCAGGAGCTGGGGCTCCGGGGAAAGCGGCAGCTCCCACGACAGACTGCGGCCAGGACTGTTTCTTGGGCGTGTGTCGGAGGGAATAAGAAATTCAAAGCACGGCCACGAATCGCCAGTGCCGGGGGAATTCGGTTTTGGTTTCTCCGGCTCTCGTCCCTTGGTTCGGCTACTTTGGGTTATTTTTGGTTGATTTCTTCATTTGGCTGCTGCTGAGAGTTTTGTTTTGCTTTCACTCGTCTCTTGCCGCCTTCCCTCCTTCTGCGGCACCGGCGGGCAGCGCCCTGCCGCCCCTCACTCCGTCTTGCTGTCCGGCTCGGAGGCTGCCAGCCCGGCGTGGCCCGGGGGCGGCCCGGCCGCCTCGCTGGAGGAGCTGCAAGAGGAGCAGGTGGAGGAGGAGGAGGAGGAGGAGGAGGAGGTGAGGCTGGGGGATTTGCTGGACAGGGAGGCGGCCACGGCGGCCGAGACCAGCCCCACTCCCCCCGGGGTGGCACTCAGCAGGGGCAGCCCCGCGTGGTTCAGGAAGAGCGGCGAGGTGACAATGCTCTGGCTCCCCGGGGTGCTGGCCGTAGTGCCCAGGACCAAGTTACCGCTGGCGTCAAGACTGGTAATGGGCAGGGTTCCACCACTGGCCAACGCTGCGGAGAGATTGGCGGATTAGCTGGAGAGGCCACCCCCCATTCCCTGCCCCCCTGAGCCAGCCAGTCCCCCGCCCTGGGGCTGGATGGGAGCCGGCGCCCCCTCGAGGGGACAGGCCCTGTGCCCCATTCCTCACCCTGCCCCCCAACCAGCCACCCCTCCTGCCCTGGGGTCGGCACTCCCTAGAGGGGAAAGGCCTTGTGCCCCATGTCCTGCCCCCCTGAGCCAGCCAGTCCCTGGCGTTGGATCAGAGCCAGCACTCCCTAGAGGGGAAAGGCCCCGTGCCCCGTTCCCGCCCCCCGAGCCAGCCA